TGCTCGCAGAAGGCCGCATGGGACAATATGGTGCTCCTGGACGAGGGCTCATCCTACTCCTCTGAAGACTTGTCCCTAGGCCTAAGCGAAGGGACCACTTATAGTAAAAAATTGTGACTTAACCCTCCAACGTCGAAGTACCGGGCACCGGTCACGGCATTACAACTGAAGGCGATGCTCGCAGAGCTCCATGTGAACATACAGGGAGACATAGCCCACTTTAGAACGACGATCGAGAGCAACACTACAAGTCTCACCCAGCTAGAAACCTCATATAGCACTCACACCATCCGGCAGACTGTAGCAGAACAGGGTCTGGCGAATCTACAGAACAAGCTACTGCAGGTCGATGGTCAAATTGATGCTCTGGAAGATCATCAGGAGGTACAACCTTAAGATTAGGGGAATACCTGAATCACTGGGGATAACAGACCTACCCCACTTCACCCGGCGGTTCCTGAAGGCCTTCCTCCCACCTAAACAAGCCAAGTCCGTGAAGCTGGATGGCATGTTCCGCCTCTCCAGGCCCGCGGGGGCCCCGCACGCCACCACACCGGATCTCATCCTCCAATTTCAATCCCTGCAAGACAAGGCCTTACTTTTAGCAGCTGTCAGAGGAAAGACCCTGATTGCCTACGAAGCTGATCTTTCCGGATCTAACTAGAAACACCCTGAGCTGGCGCCGGTACCCAAGACCTCTCTTGCAAGTACTCCAGACCCAGGACATCCCCTACTGGTGGAGCATACCATGTGCAGTCCTGCTCACCATTCAAGGCACAACATATCGTTTGGGCACATACCAGGAGCTTGAGGATCTCATGCGAGCCCAGGGTATTGTGTCATCAGCTGAGAATGTGGAGCCCAGCTTATCTTGAATGGACCCAGCAAGGATTCGTGAGTTCATCCTTCGGCCCACACAGACCAACACGTCCGCCAGAGCTGTGACCTTAATGATTGATTAGCGACCATGCCGAGCACCCAGTGTTCCTACCCTGCTAGTGACTGGACACTGACCACCAATATCCTAATGCACATTTTGAATTTCACCTATCTCCTTTATCATGATTTTATGTGGACTCTTATTTTTAGTTTTTCCCCTCCACCCTACAGGCACGATAGCAGTCCATACCATTTCTTTACTTTATTGCCTTTTAATCTATGGGGTCACCTAAACCGCCATGCAATAAACCGCTAATCCCAGGCTGACCCCATAGACCTGACCATATGGAGACGCTACTCTTGCTGGTTCGCTACTCAGTTTAATATTAGGACATGCAGAGTTCATCCTCACCCCCACCCCCCACTCATGGTTAAACTTCATAGCTCCACTATATTCCTACATAGGGGGTTATCATTCCATAGGGACAATTTACTACCGATCTATACCCTAGCTTCTATGCAGTACCATAGGACCCTATGGGAAACACTTTCCTCATGGTTAATCTCTTACACTCATGTCTGGCACCTACTGCTACTTTATAAGTCTATGATGCCTATTTGTCCTAACTAGATATGTCAGTCTAGTGTGTCACTGTTTCATACTTTGTTTATCACTATAATGTATTTTATTGTCTTACTCCTGTTCCTATTTAGACAAAAAAAAAGTGCATTGTTTAAGCCTGTATATTACTCTGCACGCCAAAAATAAATAAAAATAAAAAAGGCAAAGTGTGGTAGGAACTTTTAGTCAAGGCCTGAGGGTTCAAAATTGTGTTCAACACCTGAAATTAAACAAATGAACCTTAAAAATGTCTGAAGAACCCCAAGTGGTATACATGCTACAGGTTACATAGTTACATAGCTGAAAAGAGACTTGCGTCCATCAAGTTCAGTCTACCTCACATTTGTTTTTTGCTGTTGATCCAAAAGAAGGCAAAAAAACCCAGTTTGAAGCACAATTTTTGCAACAAGCTAGGAAAAAAAATCCTTGACCCCAGAATGGCAGTCAGATTTATCCTTGGATCAAGCAGTTATTGCCCTACATTGAAAGATTATAACCTTGAATATTCTGTTTTTGCAAGTATGCATCTAGTAGCGTTTGAACATTTGTATGGACTCTGATAAAACCACTTCTTCAGGCAGAGAATTCCACATCCTAATTGTTCTTACAGTAAAAAAAAACAAAACTTTCCTTTGCCTTAGACAAAATCTTCTTTCTTCCAGTCTAAACGCATGGCCTCGTGTCCTATGTAAAGTCCGGTTTGTGAATAGATTTCCACACAATGGTTTGTATTGGCCCCGAATATATTTGTATAATGTTATCATATCCCCCCTCAGGTGACGTTTTTCTAAACTAAATAGGTTTAAATTTGTTAACATTTCTTCATAGCTGATATGTTCCATTCCTTTTATTAATTTTGTAGCCCGCCTCTGCACTTTTTCTAGTGCCATAATATGCTTCTTTAGAACAGGTGCCCAAAATTGCACAGCATATTCAATATACGGTCTTACCAGTGATTTATAAAGAGGCAAAATTATATTCTCATCCCGAGCATGAATGCCCTTTTTCATGCATGACAATACCTTACTGGCCTTGGCCACTGCTGATTGACATTGCACATTGTTGCATAGTTTGTTGTCTATAACAATTCCCAAGTCCTTTTCGTGTGTTGTTATCCCTAATTCGCTTCCATTAAGGGTATACGTTGTTTGTGTATTCTTTACGCCGAAGTGCATAACTTTGCATTTTTCAACATTACAACCTAGCAGAATGCTTGGTTGTATAGGGAGAGGTATTAGCAGTAGAAAGAGGGAAGTGCTCATGCCATTATACAGAACACTGGTGAGACCTCACTTGGAGTATTGTACACAGAACTGGAGACCGTATCTTCAGAAGGATATTGATACCTTAGAGAGGGTTCAGAGAAGGGCTACTGAACTGGTTCATGGATTGCGGGATAAAACTTACCAGGAAAGGTTAAAGGATCTTAACATGTATAGCTTGGAGGAAAGACGAGACAGGGGGGATATGATAGAAACATTTAAATATATAAAGGGATCAACACAGTAAAGGAGGAGACTATATTTAAAAGAAGAAAAACTACCACAACAAGAGGACATAGTCTTAAATTAGAGGACAAAGGTTTAAAAATAATATCAGGAAGTATTACTTTACTGAGAGGGTAGTGGATGCATGGAATAGCCTTCCAGCTGAAGTGGTAGAGGTTAACACAGTAAAGGAGTTTAAGCATGCGTGGGATAGGCATAAGGCTATCCTAACTATAGATAAGACTAGGGACTAATGAAAGTATTTAGAAAATTGGGCAGACTAGATGGGCCGAATGGTTCTTATCTGCCGTCACATTCTATGTTTCTATGTTTCTATGTTTCTACATTTCATCTGCCATTTGAGTGCCCAGTTCCCCAGTCTATCTAAATCCCTCTACAGCAAAGTAATATCTTGCTCACATTGTATTATTTTACAGAGTTTTGTGTCATCTGCAAACACTGAAACATGACTTTCAATGCTTTCTTCAAGATCATTTATAAAAATGTTAAATAGAAGGGGTCCCAGAACAGACCCCTGAGGGACACCACTTGCCACCTCTTTCCAGCTTGAAAATTTACCATTAATGACAATTCTTTGTACTCTATTTTTAAGCCAATGTTCTACCCAAGAACAAGCATTTTCATCTAGACCGATTTCCTTGAGTTTGAACACTAATCTATTGTGTGGAACTGTATCAAATGCCTTGGCAAAATCCAAATAGATCACATCCACAGGAACACCCGTGATCTATACTTCTACTTACTTCTTCGTAGAATGCAATCAAGTTAGTTTGACATGACCTGTGCTTCATAATACCGTGCTGATTTTTGCTGATAACCATGTTCTTCTCAAGGAATTCTTGAATATTATCCCTTAATAACCTTTCAAATATTTTCCCAGCCACAGAAGTTAAGCTCACAGGTCTATAATTTCCAGGCAAGGATTTTGAACCCGTTTTGAATATAGGAACCACATCTGCCTTCCTCCAATCCTCCGGAACACTTCCTGAAAGAAATCTAAGGTTGAGATAATCGAGTTAAGAGAATTGCTTAGAGGGCTCAGTTTTCAGGCATCATACATGCATTGATCACTTGTGTTTGTATTCACTGTGCAACAACAAATGCCCAATGGACATTCTGGTTGTATCTTACAGAGCATTTAATACATGCTACTGCAATGAAAATTATCCCCAAATCTAAGTATCAATGGTATGCTAAAAAGGTCAAGATTGCCTAATGTAGCTTGAAAAAAATTTCTAACAATAATTTCAAGTACAACTAAACTTTTTCCTGTGTGTACTGTGTGTATACAATGGTGATGCAATGTAATATAAGGATGATATAAATATGTTATAATATGGTTCTGCCTCTAAACTATAATATGAATGTAACCAATGCCTGAGGTGTATTCTACGGGCAATTGAACTGAGCACATATTAGATTATTCTCTCACACTCTAGCTCATCCTATTCATGGAATAAACATATCTATTATATAAAATACAAATGATTAATAGCTGACCAATATAAATTTAAAATAAGAACTAGAAGTAATAATAAGGTAATTTATTTTGTGGAACAATCCTAATATTCACAGAAATTAGTTTACAGAATCTCTGTAGTGTAGGGGTGCCCAAATGGTAGAACCCCAAATGTTGCATGAGTTTAGCATGTTTCTAGAATGACAAAGCTTCATGGCTGCATGCTCTTTAGTGATGCCTGACATCCCCACAGGGCAACCTATGAGGGAGCTGTGTTTATAACTTTTATCCATCATGTTCTGAATGCTCCTCCTGGCCTTTTCACATGGGAAATAATTTTTTATTTAATTGTAATTTTTTATTTTAAATGTAATTATCTTTTTTTTTTACAGAACTTAGTCCTGTTTTGGTTTCGTCATTATACTAACTTTGCACAGTATGTTTACAAATTTTCTTATAGTTGATACCATCTGATTTGCCTGCTCAAAAATTCCATTTGTCGAATCATCGCTACAAGAATGATTAAATAAATGGAAGTTTTGAATGCCAATTGGAGTAGTACACTTAACTTCCTTGTTTATAAAATTCCACAAACTTAGATTAATTAAATCGTGTTCCTGATAACAGCCTTCTAAAGTAGGACTTGATTGATTTTGCTATGAATATCTATGCAATGCTGCATTAAAAAGGTTTTCAAAGGTTCAATTAGCTTATCGTAATAAGTTTACCAACACCCACAGTGCCCATCATTACCCTTTTAACCCAAGTCTGTAACAGATAAAAGACTTGTGTGAAAAAAAAACAACAAAACAGACAGACTTTTCTTTTAATCACCTGCATTAGCCTCTGGACAGGATCATACAGTAGTTGTGGTGGATCAATAGTAGAGTATTTAATGTTCGAACCTGAATCTGATATTCTACATGTGTAACTACACAAACAGATCAATGCTCTTCATTGATCTCCATTGATATTTGACAGTTTTTAAACACAATTAAACTACTTTTGCACCACTAAAAGCACTTGAAATAAACAATCTGATATCTATTTATACCTTAAAGAGCTGCTTAAAAAATACAGTAGATCAAGCATTTGTTATGACAGTGTCAATGTCAAGGGAAATGTTCAGATCTATAAATGTATGTATAAATAGAAAGGTGAGACTTAAGGTGTTCTTAAGCTCTCACCACTCATTATAAAAAATATAAGAAAACAAAAAAAAAACAATTATGCTATTTAATGATGACACTGTGGTTGTACCACTAGTTAATTATTTATTAGTGTTTTCTTACAAAAATATAACATTGAACAAACAGTGCCTACAAAAACCACTAAACGTACGAGCGAATACCAAATGTCAGCTCATATTTAAGAAATGACCTTCCTCTATCTCACATGAGTCTACTTATTATAAATATGAAGATCAGATATGGAAACAAAAGTGTTAACCCTCTCACTTCCAGCCCTTACATAGCTTCGGTAGATTGCTGTCCTAAGAATATTATGAGAAAATAGGTTTACATGAAACCAATGCATGAACTTTCCACTGGTCCTTTAATATAAAATGCAACATCTGTTTAACTGCTTCACTGCTCAATGATAGTGACTACTGCCAAGAACAAACATGACCATATTGGCCATTGAAGATATTATTGAAATGAGAAACCAACAATGTAGATATTGGGATAAGTAGCGTCAATTTATATTTTTCCAATTATATCTACCATGTATTATACATGTCGTTTAACTTCTAACCAAGTTGTTGAGAAGGTAAAAAATACCTAATTTGAAGGTGAGGCCTGACAGCCAAATGAAGCAGATGCATGTTGCTGGGGGTACTCAATGGAAACCTGAAACTGACCATTTTTAAGGGGTATCATACCTGATTTCTGATGGCAAACCTAACTTCTTTGTTTGACTAAACTATATTAGTAGTCTGGATAAGTTTGGGAAGACACATTGCAAGAAGCCAGTGCTGCTAGTCATGACGGCCTACAGAATTAGTTGAGGTAGACGAGGTGGCTGCTCCTTCACCTTACAAAGTTCCATCCTGTCCCCCTCGCCACCTCTGGAACAGTGCAGGTTTTTCTAGTTCCCACTGGAGTGCTGACCTGAACACAGCTGGGAAAGCTTCAAACCATGTGTGGCTGAATATCCAAGACCTGCATTCCAATTTCCATTTAGCTGGTGCAATGAGGCCAGTGCTTATACCAGCCCTTACAACATGGGCCTTCCACAAGGAACACAGCAGTCAGGCTTTTCAGCTACTGTAGTTGCATTTCTGGACCAAAGTACGTCGAAGGGCGAAAAGGTTTACAGTGACAGAAGGCTCAGTTCTGCGGATAGACCTGTGAGCAAGGTGCACTGGGCTGTGCTAGAAACCTAAGTACTATAACTCCACTGGGTAGACAATGTTGTTTGGTAGGCATCAGCTGTGCATCTACCAAGAGCCTGGGTATCTTACTTATACTGGCTTCTCGGCTCATACTGTTCCTTATTTATACTGGCCTCTAGGCAGCTGCTTCTGCTTTTAATTTTATTTTTGTTTACTCAACAAATATTACCTTTTTCACTCCCTTTGCTCTGCAAATGACCTTCTCATTACATCAGCTTGTTCCCGAATTGCAAATTCCCATCTGCAAGATTTTTCAAGGACATCCCTTGCTACCCTGTGCCATCAAGTTCTCCCCTAGCCCCCAGTCTTTTAAAAAGTACCTGAAAACACACCTCTTTAGGAAAGCTTACTATCTTCCTGTGTGATGCTCTCATTTCACTGCCCTCATCACTTCCCTTGACTCCATAGCCCAGCTCACTCTCTCTCCAGCCACTGATCAGTTTCTTCCGCACACCACTTCTACCAGCTAATTTCAAAACAGGCATCGTATCCATCAATCCATACCCCCTCTGACATGCTATTATTTCTCTTTTGTGTGTTTACCCATTCCTTATAGATTGTAAACTGGTTTGAGAAGGGCCTTCATCACCCTTTGTCTCTTTTTTATTCTGTATGTTAACTACTTGTTGTCAAATATCCCCATTCCATAATTATAAATCACTGTGGAATATGTAGGCGCTCAATAAATTATAATAATAATAATAATAATAATTATTATTATTATAATAATAAAGGGATAATTAGCTTCATAACTGTAGGATTAAGACCGTTTTTAAGGTTTATGTTTTCTGGATTAAGGAGGCATGTCTGCAATGTTCTTCAAATGATTTTGACTTGCCTAAAGCTGTGGAGACACAGACTAATAATGAATGAGTTTCTCCAGAATTATTTACATTTCCGAATCTTTTATTAATTGCCATCTAATCCACTATATTAGACATGTCTTATTAATGATAAAAGATATTGTAATTGCCACAAAGAGGCTCAGGCAAAAAAAAAACTAGAAACCAAAAGGCCAAGCGGTTTGTGGGTGCATTAAACATTGTATTAACGCTAAGAAAATCTGGTTTCTACCTGCTGTATGAGTGACTATCAACCCCCGAATCTATGGTGGATCCGAGTAGACTTCTGGATAGGAAACAATATAATTAAGTATGATAATAAAGTTTCTATTTCTCCTGCTTGCAACATTTTTAAACATTAGTGCAAATGTTTGAAAAATTACAAGTGCCCCCAAAAATGTTTATGACATAGTGAAAAAACAAGATACATATAAAATGTAACTACAACTATAACATGGATTCTGTTCCCATATATGGTTGTGGAATGGGTAGCACTCTCAAATATGTATCCAGTTTACAGATCTCTTTTCACATTTTTTTTTCTCAGTCAGTAGATGTAATGTACCCTTTGATGTATCATATTCTTTTCATTACAGGATCAGTAGTTAGTTCTCTATCCACCAATATACAATTTTTTAGTCTTTATAGATATCACTTAATGGATGTGGAGAGGGTAACAGAGCATTGCCAATAACTTGCTTGGGCTTTTAAACACAGTTCAGAGAGATTTGAGCTTTTTAAGTATTCAGTCTTTGAACGTTTGTTTCAGATAAAAAGCTATAGTGTCATATCTGCAACCTTTCTAGATGTACCCTGTTATTGTACCCTGTTATTGCAGAAGTCGCTTTCAGTTTATGATCTACTTAGACCATGTAGGCTACACTTGAGGCAGATGTAAAAGATTATAATTTGAAACCACTAGTTTATATGTTGCTCACCTGATGGATTTATACTCCAGCATATAGTGAATAAATAACAGTCCCTGAAATGCGATACTAGCTTAAAGGTTGGCAACTGTTAAAGTAACAAGTTGCTGTTAAATTAGATTCTAAATCTGAACATTAAAGGTTTGTAGAGATCTCAAGGAAATAGAAGTTTAGAGAGTAATAAACTGTACATACAGATCACAAATATAGTGATAACGAAGATAACGAATGAGAAAATAACAAATGAGAAAATACAAGAAACAGAAAAAAACAAAAAAAGACACATTATAGGTTTCTAAAATATTTTCCAATTCTCTGTAAAACACAATATTACAAAAAAATAGCGCAGTACAGTTTATAACTGATAAATATTTAAAAGAAAGTATGATGATGTCACTCACAAGTCTGGAGTCATACCCTCATATGACTCCGGTGGTATGTGTCTCTGGACTATTCAAGGATGTCCAATTTGTTGGTAGTCTCCCTTATACCGGCCTCAATGTTGAAGAAAGTGCCAAGTGCAGGGTATGTTGTCCAACAAATAATGCTTTTATTGAAGGCTATTGAGCCATTGGACTAGTTTATTTGGACATCCATTTGATTTTCAGAAAGTATTTATTTTTAATACTTTTAATACTTTTAATTAGATTTTTAATTAATAAATACTATATTTGTTGGACACCATACCCTGCACTTGGCACTTTCTTCAAAATTGAGGCCGGTATAAGGGAGACTACCAACAAATTGGAAGATAGAAAGGGGAGTTGGACATCCTTGAAGAGTCCAGAGACACATACCACCGGAGTCATATGAGGGTATGACTCCAGACTTGTGAGTGACATCATCATACTTTCTTTTAAATATTTATCAGTTATAAACTGTACTGCACTATTTTTTGTAATATTGTGTTTTACAGAGAATTGGAAAATATTTTAGGAGCTCCACCTTTATTGTATGTATGTATGTATATTTGTTTTGAAGTGGTGTAGGGGTTACCACTTTTTAGGTGCTAGAGCGTACCTATATCCTTTTAGTTCACCTTCGCACAGTGCACTTTTTCTTCTACATTATAGGTTTCTATTGACTCCCAAATAAGGAGCCAATCACCCTAAGGCATCAAAGAGCTCTCTATCTATATTTCCATGTTGTCACTGGACTAGTGACGAACTATTTAGAAATGCTGACTGTACATTTATCTTGCTCTATGTATGCATATTTCATTGTGCTATACTGTCATGTATGATATTGCTGTATTTTCGTTATGTTTATACATCAATAAAATTCAGTTATGAAAACTAATGTACATCACCTCCAGTCTGTTGTATTGTTTTAAATCTTCTCAACAATATATATATATGTTTGGATTTGCTGTAAACATTTCCCTCCTGTACAAATAAGCATAGCCTATCTGCCCCAAAAAGTTAAAATCAATTCTGAGAAGCTGGCCTGAAATAACTGATTGATATTTGTTTTTGTTTTTTTAAAATGGCTTGATTTCTATAACGAATTGAATGGGTGTTAAATTACTATTGCTATTAGTTTGCCAAACTACAGGTCATCGACCCTATTTATATGTTACCAAAACAACAAATGAAATATGCTAAGTGACACCACTATCCTTTGTTATATTATCAGGGGTACAATTCTCCCCAACTGGAGTGAACATTCAGCAATAAATTGAACTTATTTTTATGTGTATGAAATATGAGATTTTAAGGTTTTTATTAATTCATTTTTTTTTACATAAATTATATACTAACCTTCCTGTTCTCCTGGCCATACTTGAAAACATATGTTCTTAGATGCTAAACTATTTTGTGGTGGGCATTTTGCCAAGGGCCACAAAAGTGTTGGATATTGTGTACACCACCGCTCCTAAATTTGAGCCAACTTGGCCTGTTGTTGCGGAGAGACTACGGAGATGCATTCGTAGGAGTAATTAAGTTCTATTCATTTCTGTTAAACATGTTGCTGATTTTGAATTTAAGGCAAAATGTACTCTACCACTAAAGCAATGTGAGATACTAAGGTTTTTTCATAAAAGGTTATCTGAGGAGTAAATTCCATTTATAAATGCACTTTATGTTCTAAGGGGATCTGTAAGTTCATGAAGTTAACTAATTAAGCTATCATTACCCATGATGGTAGTCCCATAACATAGTCCCCTTACAAGCACCACATCACCAGCACACCATGGAGGCATTTCTATATATGTGACTTGAAGCATAGCGTTTTGCTATTAGCCTCCCAATGCTTACCTATGGGAACTGAATTGGCGTTAACTGAGATCATCCAGTTGTCAGCCAAAGTGAAGAGCATGCTCTTGTTACTTCAAAATGAGTAAGATAACGTAATTTTTTTCTGCTGTGCAAAAGCATAAATTCACAATTTCAATCCAATTACAAAACATTCCTTAATATGTCAAGGTAGTTGTACTGAAACATTGATTATATGCAAATGCACGTCTGTCATAGGCGTGCGCAGCCTATTGTATAAGGGTGTGCACCCTAAAGCACAATCACACACACCGCGTATATATATATATATATATATACATACACACACACATGTACTGCTGTGTGTGTGTGTGAGGGTGCTGTGTGTAGGTGCTGTGTGTGTGGGCGCTGTGTGTGTGTGGGCGCTGTGTGTGTGTGTGATGTTTTGTACAAATCAGTCAATAATTCCTGTATAATGAAGTACTCACTTTATTAATACATATATAACAGGATCTTCATATTGCTGTCTTGTTACACAGGGTTTCAAATCCCTCGAACATTCCACCAACTGCCAACTGGAACAGGAAGTAAAGAACCAAAAGAAAGGAAGTGCATCATTCACAGCCGACAACAGCCCAACTGCCCATACATCACAATACATACACTCATAAACTCACACACTCATACACAGCCCAACTGCCCATACATCACACTGTGAAGGCGCTGTGTGTGTGTGTATGTAAGGGCGCTGTGTGTGAGGGTGCTGTATGTGTGGACGCTGTGTGTGTGTAGGCGCTGTGTGTGTGTGAAGGCGCTGTTTGTGTGTAAAGGCGCTGTGTGTTTAAGGGTGATGTGTGTGTAAGGGAGCTGTGTGTGTAAGGGTGCTGTATGTGTGTGTAATTGTAATGTATGTGTGTGTAAGGGTGCTGTATGAGTGTGGGTGATGTTAGTGTGTGTGTATGTGTGTGAGTATGTGTAAGGGTGCTGTGTGTGTAAGGGTGCTGTTAGTGTGAGGGTACTGTTAGTGTGAGGGTGCTGTTAGTGTGTGTGAGGGTACTGTGTGTGTGAGGTTGCTGTGTGTGTAAGGGTGCTGTGTGTGTAAGGGTGCTGTGTGTGTGAGAGTGCTGTGTGTAAGGGTGCTGTGTGTGTAAGGGTGATGTATGTGTCTGAATTCCATAGATCCAGAAGGGGAAAAGTCAAAGAATCTTGAAACTGTATCCTTGACTCCAGAAGAAAACAAATTACACTGAAAGAAAAATATAAAAGTGAAAGGCATCTGAAATGGTCGATTGTCAGCATATATGTAACAATTGCAGCATGCAAATTCTCATGGACATAGCAACAACATAAATTTGAGTACACATTATCTGATTACTATAGAACCTAGACACCCCCCATAAATTATCATAGTATAGCACAGAAACCCTGGTACATTCCATACAGAAAAAGGGGGAGGGAAGAGAAATATGGGAGGGGAATATTCGCCTCCTACTAGAATTAACATTATAGGTACACTACGTTAGCATAATCTACAATTTTACCACATGACAGGAGGCTTCATATTTGCATTTTTAACGCTGATGGTTAAGAAGAGTGGAAGAAGCATGAGAAACATGGCAAAAGTAGAATACTTGAAAAGTACTCTCATGTGTCCAATCTGCGCAACGTATGATATCCGTAATAAAAGGGTAAGTTTTGGCGTTAACTGTCTAAGAGATAGACCCAGATTATCTGGCCAACCTCTAAGGAAACGCAATACCACTATGTCCCTGAGACGCAAATATTTAGGAGCTGGAGGTCTAAATAACTTTGCTCCCCACTACAGATGCCATACCATAGGATCTTGACCTACTAGGACGGCTTGTATGGGAACATGTGCCGCCGAAATGGATGAATGCACTACATAGAGGAAACGATACAATCGACCTTGGGAAAAAGCTGAGATAAATAGTACAAGATGATAGGGATAGGTGCAGTAAAAGGGACAGAATCCCTCTCTAGACACCAATGACTCCA